CTCCTGGGTGAGGAAAAATACATGCACACAGTTTTTTTTAACATTAACTGACAAAAGATGTAGGGGGTAGGGCTTAAGGTGATTTAAGCCTTTCCTACATCTCTCATACATAAAGTATGAGGAAAGTTTTACCAAGGTATTTTCTCATTACTTTTAATATCTTGATTGTGAGAAGTGAAAAGTGACACAATGAGTGAACGTTCAGACGAGTTCAAGTTTATTCATAAAAGACTATGCAATCACTTATTTACACAAATTGAACAGATCATAAGTTGCACCTGATTGTGGTTATTCCAATAAAAAGCTTCAAAGTTAAATGAGATAAAACTRGCGTCCGAATTTTAATTCACATCAACTCAGATTACTTATATAGAACAGTAAAACGTCAGTTCTGATGTTACAACCAAATAATTTTACTGGCACTTCCAGCTTAAGTTTTGGCAAATAAAGACAAAGGAAAGGAGGAAAGTAAGGTTAGTGTTATTACTAATTTTACTTTATCAAGAGTGTAGCCAACCGGATCAGCACGTCCCTTCTGGTCACTTAGATTTCCACATGACACATCACCCCGAAAATGCTCAGCTTTTACCTGGTGATGGCTTCTTAACCAAACCCTGGGTAGTCACTGCTTCACCTCCGATCAGTCAGGGAACTTTTTAATTGGCCCGCTCACTGTTCCTCTGCGAAAAGGTGTTATTTCAGGTAACTTTTCATCTGTTTGAGTCCAAGCCAGAAAGATTCAAGCTGTTCATCCGGTGCCTTCTTTCAAAATAAAATCTCCCCTCGGGAGTTAGAAACACACTTGGAGACTTGCAGTCTCGGGTGGGACATTAGGCGGCGTGCCGACATCCCAGCCATTAGATCCCCCAATTAGCTCATGGGCAAGGCCTAACGAGCCAAAACTGGCTTCTCCGGAGAGAAACTCGGTATTACTTCCCAGTTTGGCATCCAGGAAGAAGTGTGCCCGTCACTCAAAGACGTCCGGGTTAGTAATAGAAACGGACGAACTTTGATTCCGCCCTCGGGCTTAAGATGAGTCAGAGAAAGGAAGAGAGATAGAGCCTTGCCAGCCAGGCGCCAGCTCAAGGCTAAAATTCTGATTGTCTCAACATAATATGATAACCTCTTTTCAACTTTTCTTCTGATAGACTCTAAGAGAAATCACTGCAAAACATTTGTGATGATTAATTAACATTTCTGTTTAAGTCATCAGTTTTGAAACTTTTGTTAGTCCAGATACATGAAAAATTTTCTCAAGAAAAAACCCACAATTAAATTACTGTGTTCACAGTAAAATAAAAACAGTGATTTAAATAAAAACACAAGGAAAACATGGTAATGATTTTCTCTGTAAATTTTTTACACCATTAATTAATCTTTTAGGCACGATAAAAGAGTAGAAGTGGTTCCACTTTTCTTGTGACAGTCATTATCATGATTTAACAAATGCATAAACATTCTTAGTTAAACAACAAATGAATCACGAACAGAAGAGATTGCTCTGTCCATTTTCTGATTAAGAGAACCGAGGGGTTCTCTTCTGGGTTGAAATGACCTGTCATGGCCTAAATAGAGTTCAGTTTGTGACAGAGTTCCTGCCTTCTCGTCAGGCCTGTGCGAGGCCTGCTTCGAGGCAGTAAATCTTGTTTCTTCACTCGAGGTGACCCCTACATTTGTATTTATATATCATACTTTTATTTTCTGATGCTCAATATGAAGGTTTTTCCCAGTAAGTTATCTCTAACCTATAAAAATGCTCTGAAATACCAGACATTGGATGTTAGAATGTATTATTA